CTGGCGCTCAACTGCCTCAATAACTCGCTCTTATTAGCCCTAAAACAAACGCAGCAAATCAGATAAAACCGTACCTTAAGTCAAAGTCGGTACTTACTACTTACTGCTGAAACTTTCTGTTGTCAGAGTTTGGAAAATTCCTGTACAAGACTAGAAAAATATCTGGATATATTGAAAGACATTCTTACAATTCCACTTAGTAAAATTTTACAATACTCCTGGTTTCAAGGATAGATAGAAGCTTGACGTACATTCACGTGTGGTGTTTTTTTGAAGGGTAGGTGGAAAGGAGTGGAAGAGAGAAAGGAAATCAGACTCTTCTACTGGGACAACAGAAGATCCTTTTCCATCTCTGTGAAAAGCTGCCTAAATTCTGAAGCTGAGATTGTAGCAGCTAACAGGAGTTCACGTAAGGAACAGCTCAATATGTGTATTATATACCAATTCACAAAGTACTGGGCAAGATCCAGAGTTGCAACAGTGCCAGTTGCTTTCAACCATTTCTTATAATACCATGCATACTGTTACTGGTTAACAACAGGTCACAGAAGGGTGGGTTCTTGTCAAATGCTTCTTTTCACAGTGCTTTGCAGCAAAAAGGGCAAATGAACCACACAAGTGAGACAGATTTGGGAGTAGTGAGTAATGCCATGTGAGTATGGTCCAGATACTTATACACCAGCGAAACTTACCTGTCCTGCATGAGTGAAAAAGCATATTTAAAACGGCCTCTGCTGGATAAGATTCAGAGTTACACGTGCAGTCAAAAAAAGATATAGTATTCAGGTTAGAAAAAGTGAACAAAAAAAACCCTTACCACATGGCAAAAGGCTGGAGTAAGAACAAGATGCCAAACCAAATTCTTTGAAAACACCCTGGACACTTCCTAACATTCAAAAAAATTGGTATTTTTTAGCTGCGCAGTTCTAGTGATTCATGAAAAGCTTGCCGGGGCTCACTGCAGTGTTCCTTCACTTTCCATTAGCAGTTTCTTGAAGCACATGACATTGGGGTTTAGAAGAGAAAAACGTCAATGCACAAAATCTAGAATTAAGCCAGGCAGAAAGAAAGCATGACGTTCTGTGTCAAAAGACGAACCCCTAACTAGCCCAAACTGTATCCAGCTGGTTCTCTGCCTACATAATTATCTCTACAAGATTAAGCTATCTAGTGGTAAGAACTAAAATACAATCGACCTGGGAGAAGTAATGTAACACAAACAGCTAAACAAATTTTGTTTAAAATGGGACTTTTGAAGGTCTTAATGGAAGATGAAATAAACATTTAGTTATGTGTGCCTGACATCATAAGAATATTTTTTGATGCTTAAAGAAACAGATTGAAATGAATGTTCCAGACCGCGTTCAGGTCATTAAGCTGTGAAAATGTCGAAGCAATTAGGGTCTTATAATCAAAGTTTAACGAGACGTCTGAGTTAACACTTTTCATTATCGGTGCACTACCTGAAATGTATTTGAAAATTTTTTTGCTGCTTCTTCCATGCCAACTGAAATATATTCCACCACTTGTGTCTTGCTCTGGAGAGACTCAACTCCTGAAAAGAAGGAACAGTTGTTTTTCTACTCCTCTCCTCTCTCCATCATTTTTTTTGGATGAACAATCTCTACCTCCTCCCAAGATAAATGGAAGCAAACTAGGTTTAAACATTTAAAAAGATATAAAGGTTTATTAAATGAATCCAGATTTGACGGATTTTACATAAATTAAACAGCAATAAAATTTTACTAGGGTTTATGTACAGATCACAGTGATTTTCATTGTGCAATGAGGGCTGACTTTGTAACTTTGAACAGTACTTATACATGTGAGCTACAATAAGCAACCAGCAACAAACAAGTTAACCTCGCAAGTCTAGCAGTACAAACTGATTATGCAGCACACAAATGTCTGCTATCACTATTACTACTTACTACACAATAGAGTATTTATAAAGCAGTCGAGGTTTGCCATAGAAAAGTGCAAAACATGGAAAGTCTGTACACAGTACAGTACAAAACGGAATCATGCTACAGTCATTGAAAGCTGAAAAATAATTCTATAGCGTAGGAAGCACTGCATCACAACTCTTCTGACTGGCAAAGCAGATTGGCTGAGGAACAGCCATATTTTAATTGCTTTCAAAACTGCAAAATCCCTGTTCATCCATTTAAACATAGTTTAGTACCTATATTTTGATCAATTAACAATGACTTTCTACAGTGGAAGATCACATTAGTTAAAGCTCAGTAGCACACATATTCATTGATAAGCTAATTTACAGGAAAATCTACAGCATGTTCTCCATTGAAATCATGAAGCATTTTTATCATTTGGTTACAAGGCAATTAAGTTTACAATGCACGTTTATCACTTAAAACCTCAAATTGGGCAATTAAAAAATATATATATATAAAACTCAAAAATAAAGGTTGTTTCTAATGTTTAACATTCTTGTTCACCGAAGCAGAATACCAAAGGCCTATGAGCTCTTGCAAGAAAACAGTCCTTATGCAACAGTCTATATGCAAAAACACATGTTAACAGAAGCAACCATAATAAAATGAACTTCAGAGAATACAATATTTGAACAGAAAATAAAAAAGTGTTCTAGTCTGTTTAAAGAAAACATAAATCCAGAGTCCTTAGTGCAGTGTGTATCTGGGGACTTCTGTGTGAGCACTCAGACAGAGCTATGTTAGTGAGTCCTAGCAAAGACTTAAAATAAAACAGATTAACTTGTGCAAATAAATAAAACGGGCAGGTAGTAACAGCTGACTATGTTGAAGACTGTAGAGAAAATAAGTGATCACTTAAAATAATGCTTCAAAAATGTGGTTTTTTTTTTTGTAAGGGATTTTAACTAAAAAAATTTGAAAGTTTTGTACTAGAAAGCATATTGACGAGGTCAGTAGTTAGGCATATGTACACATGGCTCTGGAAACAATGTAAAGTCAATGGATTACCATTATTAGTAAGATTGTATTCGTTCTTTAGTCTCTATCGTAATGAGTGTCAGTGCATCCACTGCCAGCAATGGATAAGATTCATAAAAAGAAAATCCACTCTCTCCTGTTGTTCAAGCATTCAAAACTTCTAACCACCAATGTGGCAATTAGTCAAACGTCAAAACTTCATTTCCTCAGCTTTGAAGACTTAAACACAGTGCAGTTTTTAAATTTGAAAAAAAAAATAATTATATTTAGCACACTTGCTTGTTGCAATATGTACCTTTTTAAATAAGAAATTGGTTTTGTAGTACTCAGATTCCATAAAATACTGTAAGCTTACGCATAAAAAAACCCCACTTGAACTGTGCTTGTTCCCCGTAGATAAAGTCTTACTTACTGTGGTTTATGTGCTTCAGTTTTTCCAATTGATTTGGAATAATTAGATACAAATACAGTGGACAAGATTCATTTTTTTCAAGAGAATAAGGTATTTTTACCAGGTTGAAATGATAATTTTCTACGAGTTTTCCTGTATTTCATTATACATTCCTACACAGTATTTACTGAGTGGTAGCTGGGGCCACCAACTTGTGGGACTTGCATCTTCAAGATGACTGATGTTTCAGAATTAGCACTTTGAAGTATCCTAATTTTGTTACACTTTGTGCATTTTTGCAAAAAGTTATGCAATCTCTTAAAGTTAGACTTGCTTTATGAAGAAATAGATCTAGATGATCTTTCTTTATGAAGAAATAACCTAGAAATTGCAAGTTCTCAAAAGTACTTCTGTACTGCTTAGAGCTAAATGAAAGAAAACAGAAGTCACTTTTCCACAAGGAGACACCAGCTGCAGATCTGTCATGAAATTATAAACATGGTAATTCCATTAGTGATTACCAGAATGTCTACTTTGTAAGCATTCAGGATTTAGGTCAGAAAATCTTTGGCCTACACTTCTTATGGCATTTCAGATCAAAAATGTGGAAAGCATTTTGTGGGAGAAACTCTCTGTACAATCTACTTGAACAGCTTAATGTCGAGCCATCAGTCATAGTAGTGGAACTCCAGTAAGCCAATGTGCTTTCAAAAAAAATATTTTTGGTCTAAATATCGTAATTTCATTAAAAGTTATCTAAAACCACAACATCTGAAAGAATGTATTTACTTCGGAAATCAAAGCACTTCAAAATCAATTCCTCTATATTAACACAAGTATCACAACATGTAACATGGAAAAAAACCTTAAAAAAAACCCTGACTTGTATACAATCTTCCTTCATGTTTATGTGTATTCACATACACATATGCATACATATGCACACACTGGTATTTGGTGCTACTTAAAATGAAGCAGTATTGCAAATAATTCCTAAATACAGTGTACTCAAGCTGCTAGAAAGCTGTTAGTACAGGATGAAAAAAGGAGACTCCTTACATCTCAGGTTTGAACTCTGTACATATGGAATTCCTGGCAGCAGAGACTTTAGGACATTTCCAAAAGCAGGAGTAGAAAAATTAGGCTCTAATATATATTCAGTCTTTCCTCTGATATTCTGAAGTGCCAAGCATTCAATAACAACTATTCCAATAATGAAAAAAGTCTGTCATGGCTCATGCTTTACATTTGGAGAAGAGAGCAAGCTTGAGAGAGAACAACTCCCTAAGAGCCAGTTAGAGCCCTTTTATCAGTTTGCACTGAATTGCATATTTACAGAGAGTCTGCATGTGAGGAATCTCGTCTCAGACACACTCAATATCCTGGTTTGTAAAGAGACATCACTGCGACACAACTTCATAAACTAGCCATTAAGATGCATCTTAATCAACAAGAAAACATGCCCTTGTCTTTCTGCTTTCAAGTACTATGGTTGCAAGTGTGAGGCATTGGAAATTCTAGGTATAAATCTTTTTTAAAACGTAATTATTTTTATTTTTACAAAGAATTATAAAATGTATATAAGATGATGAAAAACTTATCCTTTTAAGATTTTTATTCCTAGAGAACTTCTTGAAAAACATTATTTGAAAAATAAAAATCATAGACTCTGCAAAGTACAAAAATTTACATCTTTGCACAGTTCCTGTGCTTTAGTTGTATTGTATTCATTATATACATATATACTAATTTGTGCTTTTAATTACACAAGTTTAGTATAAACTTATAAAATTAAGTCTATGAGTTAACTATGCAAAAAGGATCTGGGAATAGCAGGAAACTTAACTAACCCATAAGTTAAAAAAAAAAAATTCTAAAATATACCACTTTAGTGAGTCTACTTTAGAGTAGACTATCAATATTACAATTCACTAAAGTAATGTTAAATGTTTACAGCAAAAAAATTGTTCTTGCCTGCCTCCAACTCTTTAGATATTTGCTGTATACCAATATGCATGTCTGAATGCAGTTTGATTCTTATCCACAAATAAAGTCTTCATTTACGTATGAACTCCATCTTTCTTCAGATCTGCTCTTAGCACTTCAATTTCCTTCCAGTTTCTGAGACAAAAGAATAATGAAAGAGGAACAAAATACAACATGGAGCATGTGAATGGAATGACAAGTATCAATCTATCACAGTTACAAGACAGAATCCAGGGTACAGAATTAATCTGACAATCTTATTCCTCTAAGTAAAGTCTTCATTCTTAATAAAAATCTCGTTATCAAGAACAATCACATTTCATTATCTGTCAAATCAATCTAGATATTTCCTTTAAACACACTATTTAAAAGTTTTAAGGACAGAAGGACTTAAGTCTATGCGAAAAACTCTTCATCACTGTAGAACAGTAAAGCCTGTGAGATAAATTACCTTTGTCATTCTGTAAGCCTGCTTTACAATATTTTATTTCAACTGTTTACTTTATACTATCTACTACCATGATTCATGTTGGTTTTACGAGCTGTAAGGAAGTATTAATCACTTTTATGTATCAGAAGAATTCTGATAATTTCTGCATACGGCTCACACTCACAGACCTGCAATGTTTTGAAGAGGACTCCCGACATTTGGACATACCTCATCCACCGTAATGTCGCATTCAGAAGTTCTTGAAAATTTCTAGATCTTTAGGAGGTACTGGAGGCGTCTTGTTCCAGTCATCTTCAGGATAAGCTTCAAAATTGGAAGTATCCCCATCATTGGATACTTTCGGTACTATGGGAGGCTAGTCAGAACAAGTACAACACAAAACGTTAGTAGTTTCCTCCATGAGCTCCTCTCCATCATATTAAAGCAGAAATTCTGTAAAAGACTTATAAATATGTACTCATTTTGTTTAATCAAAGCTCACTTTTTTCACTAATAATGAGTGGCATGAGAGAGAAGCTTGCAGCGAAAGAGACGTTCCAACGCTTTGTCTATACTGGAGTTCAATGCTGTGGTTAAATGACACAATACAGATAACTACTTTATTTAGCACTCAAGTTCTAGCTGCTTTGCAAACTGAAGGTAACTACCCCAAGAGATGACTGCAACTAAGCTTCCAGACACTTGCCATTACACTATAATCTGCCACTCTCCCTCTTCACTCCTCCCCTCTCCCATGGCCCATGAGCAAACAGGAATGTCATTACATTAGGTTCCTTTCAACTAAGAATGGGTCTTGATAGCAGTGTGGGTAGCTGCTTTCTAATTGAAGGGAAAAAAGCCTCCTCTTCTCTTCATTGCTTTGCAATAGATTGATTGCTTTTAAGAGGGTTGAAAATTACTAACTTTGGTATGCCTCACACCACCTACTATGCTTTTTCCTAGCCTAGCTATAAATTCAAGCAGGTAAAGAAATTGCTGCACTTCAAAAAGTCACTTCACAAGGATGTCTCTAAAAGTATCTTAATTCAAATGCATCTTTTTAAGGAAACTTGGAGGTGCCAAGAGAAGTATCTGTTTGCTGTTTCTTTCCTCAGAGGATCCTTTGGATTTCTACTATTGCCCAGCTTTCCAACACCTGCAGTTTTGTCTCATATCTAGCATCGAGATTACTCTGCCCTTCTTGCCACACACTATGAGATAAAGCTACTTTCTGGAACATTTCATTAATTCCAGTGGTTACCCTGGAAAGTGCAAAACCCTTTTCTTCTCTCAAGGGACATGCATCTCTCTATCCCCTTCTCAGTAACAGAGAGTTTAACTATTTTCATGAGTCCAACAAAACACTTCAGGATGAGAAAATCTTACAGATGATCAGCAAACTGGCTAATAACAGTCGTAACACAGACGTAACTCTGAAGTACAGCAAAACATTATTCTGCATCTCCTCAAACAGATCAAAGCCTGGCTTCCGCTAGCTCTGAGAGCTCATCTGATCTTTTGAGACAATGCCATCAGCAGGTTTTCAATGGGAAAGAAAAGGTTGTGAGGGAGAGTACTGCTAAGCTTCAGCCAAAAGCAAAGTCCCACTTTTGCAACGTGGCAGTCACAGCATACTGCCCAGCTGCTTAAGAAAACGTGCAGAATCTGATCTGCTCCAGAGACCTATCTGCTCCACTGTGCACAATGCCTGGTACCCCCACGTCCCTGTAAGCATTTCAGCAGGAAAATCAGTTTTGTGAAGTGACACACAAAAATGGGAAAACGGGGTGGGGGTGGTGGGGGGAAGAGAGAAAGCAAAATCCTCCATTTCAGATTAACAAGATTTTCTCTCTGTCGTTAGTATTATTTGTATAATTCTGATATTTAAGATCTTATCAGGACTGTGAATCAATGTTTCATTTGTACAACAGGCCAATTTATACTGTAAGAAACAGGGAAAATGGAGCACTGTATCCATTATTTTGTATTTTCAATCTCTTCATCAGTATGAAATAGAGCAAGATTGTGAAAACTAATTGTGAAGAATATAGTTGCCTCTAGAAATAACAACGTAAATTTCTGACCCAATTCACATTCTTGCTCTGAAGTATTATTAAGCAGCATCTCATCTTCTGAGAGCTTAGTGTAGCCAGTACAAAACTTCAGAAAAAAGTTTTGAATTCATAATAATCTGCATGCCACAGTGACTCTTGGCTGTTTGTTCGTTGTTTTGTTTTTGTTCTGTGTTGTTTCTTTGGTTTGTTGTTGGTTTTGTTTTTTTTTTTAACAAAAATGTAACACAAAGGATGGTTGGACCTGAGACTTTTGATTTGTACCTCTAACATTCAGTTTTTAATGCTACTTTTTTGTTATTTATTTGCTAATACAGTAGGCTATCATAAACTTCAGAGCTGAATTATTAACCAGTTTGTGTTCTTCATGGATTTGCATGACCAGAATTTACAGTAAATAATTTGAAAAATGGGACTTCATTACAATAGATCTACATAAAACATCAGAGTGTAATAATCGTTAAAAATCTCCAAACCCACACACTTAGAACAATGTAAACTTTTTTTAAGAAAAAAGTCACCTATAGTTTTGTATTAAGATGTTGTCTACAAGAACACATCAAGAACATTTTCATCTCTTATCTATTTTGCAAGAACTCAATTTAAGATATCTAGCCAGAAATTAATTATAAGAAACCAATGCTAAGAAAGAAAAACCGAATATTTAATTGGTATTTGATTGACTACATATGGCAACCTATGTTAGTGAAAATCATTGCTATAAGAAATCGTACTAGTTAGAAATCTGAAAAAGAATGAAGGTAGTTTTACTTCCAAAGGACTTTAAAAAGCATTTTGCAGCATGGATAGCTTTTGCAAACATCTGCCCTCATATAATACTAGAATCCAGTGCTGTTAAAAAGCATGTTAGAATTACATTCATAAATCCTTCTCTCTCACCTTCCCTATTCCTCCTATTCCATATGCTTTACATTTTATTAAAGCGTTTACCTGAATTGAACTTGGCACAAAAATTTAAAGCCCAAAGTAAAATACTTCCACAGATATAAGGGGAAGAGGGGAGGGGGTGCAGGCGGAAATCAACAAACCACCAATATCCTCCCATCCTCCCAAACAAGTAGTTACTTACAAAAGCCTAAAACTGAAAATTAAATATTGTATTAACCAATCAACTTCAGCAAAACAAAGCAAGAATTTATTTTAGACATTTCATATATAGATAAAAATGCAATTTAACATTCACATAATTAATTCTGCAGTGTAAAAGGATAAAAATGCATGTAGTTATAGATGCGTGCGTTTATACACATACGAACACACAGATGCAACAGGCAACAAAACCTCAACAGATCAGCTTAAATGAACAATGTTGCGATGTCCTATATGGTATTTTGCAGAACATACCTTCAGTCTCCTTTGAGGTACAGCGTCCCAATCTATAGACCTGAACCATCGATGTCTCTTCACATCATCTGCTCCATTCTTTAAAGAAAAAAATCAAAATAAGTATTTAGTAAGTTATTTGTATGTCAAACCATCTATTTCATAAGCACTGTGGTATCAAGGCAGACTAATGGTCTGTCTAACCTTTTTTCTTTTCTCAGGTGATAGTCATTAAAAGATTCTACAGGATAAATTCATAGCGTTATTCCCCTAGCAGATCCTGAGTTCCAGCAATAAGATCCAAATTTCTTTTTTATTTTTTAGCAGCATTCTTCTGACACAAGGGAGATTAAGAATAGGCTTTAAAATACCCACAAAACCATTCACTGAAGTTCTATTCACCTCTGTTTTCTCCAGCACTTTAGAGAGTGCCTCTTATTCAGATATACTTTCTAATTCTTACGCTAATAAAAGAAAACAACTGAGAGCTGACGGTGTCTTAAATAAAAATCATGCAAAGCACGTAGTTCTATCAAGTATTACAGATGTTTAGTACAGACAAAAAGAGGTTCTCGGTACCATTACAAAAGTATATACATAAAACCAGTTGTTTTCATTTTAGATACATGGATAAAGGCGTATTTGTCTTGTAATGATTATTCTCTCTGGGCTGACTGTTTTGATTACATAAATAAAGAATGAAAATGTCTTTTTTTTTTTCTCTTTTCTTTTCCCCAGGCTGAAGCTTGGTTCAATCACAGACTCAAGGCATTAAGCACTGGGGAAAAACAGTTGGTTCTCTGTTTCAGGTTTGATCACAGCACAGTTTTAATGCACAGCACTCAAGCTCATATCACATGCAGCTCCATGGAATGAAACATACCATACATTTGGCTTTTTTCAGATTTACATGGAGTTGGACTATCCATGCTCATATCCAAAGAGGCAACCAGCAGAGTACCCTCAAAAGCAGATCTGACTGAATGCTTCACCAGAAAATGCCCAATGGGATTTGAATCTTTTTAAACAAACTGTTATTATGAAAAAGGATCAGAGTTAAGATTGACCTATGGCTCCCACCTCAAATCCTGTTTCTAATTAGAACTATTTTTCATTTTGACATTTTAGCCAACTGTAGGGAAAGACCTCAAAACAAAACAAAACAACCACGGAGAAAAAAAAAAAAAAAAGTCAGCCAAACACCTTTCCCAAAACCCATGTTTGAATAAACTAAGGTTTGCTTTTGTTTTAGTTTTCCTTCAAAACTGTCAAAAGATATAAATTTTTTCAGTGGTCAATAACTTTCTATATGTTCAGTTTATAAAAGTTTGGTTTTAATCCTCTTGCTGCCCGTCTGAAAACTGCAAAGAATTCTGAAAGATAAGAAAAACATTATTTTCTTACCAGTCTAAGTTTGTGCCATAAAAGGCTCTGAAAAGGAACTTCAGACAGCAGGTTCGAGCATTTATACTTACATTGGTACGTTCAAGGAACCTGGATGACCGTGCATCTTTTACCTACTTCACCTATGTGCAACATAAATTGTGTTTTGTGTAAAAAAGTAAACCTCTAACGTCCTATGCCCAGGGAAATGGAAATTTCAGCTGCCTCTGAAGAATTAAAACACTACACAAGCTAATTCAGGTATCTGCAACACCGTAACAACAATAAGTCATCAATGAATATAGGAGTCACTTATCCTGCCAGAAGGGTAAACAAAACTACACTGAGTTTTGTGCAGTGCTTTGGCTAGCTTGTTGAAATACCTGAGTTAGTTCACATGCAGCTAACTTCTCACTGCACTACCAACCAAAGCTACTGCACAGCTGCAGAATCAACATCATCTTGGCATTACAAGTAGTACCACATCAGAACGTGTCACTGAATTCACAGGGTTGCTTTGCATTCCTCCTTGACATATGACAGATACAGATGTATTTCTGAGGTAAGGTGGAATGCTACCTGAGGCATGTGAGTATATTTCTGACTAGTAAGCTACTGCCTTCAGAAGTCTGTTCAGAATAATTCTTCGTGGAAGACTATTTGATTGTGCTTAATCAGCCCCACCACAAAACTACCAGGACAATAACCAAACATCATGGTACTACAAAAAACTCTATACTCTTTAAAGTAATTTTTAAGCTTCAAATTCGATTAGTGCTTGTTTAGGAATTAAACAACTCCAAAGAAAGAAGCAAATCAGTCCGTACCCTGCCCTACAGGATGCAGTACCATGCTGCTGTAAGTCTTCAAATTAACCAGTAAACAGGTAGAGGTTCTTTTGTTTTCCTTTTTTTTTTTTCTTTTTTTTGGTGGCAGGGAGGTGGAAAAACTGTCATGAAGGGTAGCATTAATCCAGACAATAGGAGTACGATTTCCAGAAATACAGAGTTAAACTTTACATTTAGGATTGTACAACCAAAGTAATGTATAAGAAAATGTATTTCGATTCCGTGCTCATAAAAACAAAAGCCATAGAAGAGCTGTTCTCCATCTTTGCTATAGAATTGTTTCAACCTTGTGCTATGTTCTGCATTACACCTAACATTTCATACTGACCTTCATATTTCCTAATCGTCTTGTCCTGTCAACCACAAGCAGCTTCTTAATAAGGTCTCTGCAGTAAAGAAAACATGTTCTCTGTTAAACAAAAGTAATTTATATCTGACTGTCATACAAATGTTACAGCATATGAGCATACTTCTCTTTGACTAGCTAATACTGTGTGCAATTTACCCATTCGTTTCCTTCATATTTTAGAACACTTAAGAGTGAATGATAAAGAGGAATAACCTGTTCTAAAACCAACTCACAGAATTCTTGCAAATAAACTACTTTAATAGCAAAGTACTTTCAATATTAAGCACCAAAAAACTCTGACATAAATCGAGTATCACAATTTACTTAGTTAGCTTGATTACTTACAAGTTGAAAGTCAAATCTGGCTTCACATTTCTATAAGCAGCTATTTTCTATCTCAAAAACTATTTTGCTAATTATTTTTAGAATAATAGCATTCTGTTCTCCTTGCACAATGTACCACAGACAGGAAAGAAAAAAAACTTTAGTCACTCTTTTGTTTCTACAGCCTCAAATAGTCTTGAGAGATGCTACACTGCACGAAATCCTGGGGATCTACAGAGTATGGTTAATTCTAATTTTTAACTTTGCAGAAGGTTTAAAAAAACACCCAACAGCTTTATTTATAGAAAATAATGCAAACATATTAATGACACATGTGCCTCTCTAAAACCCTAACTGTAACATCTACTATTCCAAAACAAAAACAGAATTCTGTCACCCATCCTTGAAATCATAAAAGCATATGCACAAAGAATATATGAACTGAGAGTGAATGTGCTACACTGTTTGAAAAGCTGTTGCATTTGGCAGGAATACAGTTCTAAAATTCAACTGGAAAAATATTCAATTGCCGGATAAAAGGAGAACAAAAAAGTCAAGCTAGAAAGCGATTTTTAAAACTCCCATGATCATTCCAGCCAATCAATATTGGGATTAGACTAGATCATGTGACTAAATCATTTATCTCTCTAATGAAAAGAAATCCAGAAACCCAGAACAAGATTCACAGGTTATGTAGCCAAAGATAAATGACAGAGTTCCTTAATCCTATATAACCAGAAAATATTCAGCGGATCATTCTTGGCTTGCTTCAAAAATAATCTTAGATAAGCACATTTAAGAGATGAGCTTGCTCAGTGATACTGTATTGTCACTAAAGATGAAGACATTTGCTGCATTCAATAGAACATCCATTAAACTGAACCAAGTAGTAGAAAGTTTAGTGCTTCTTTTTTACATAGTTTCTAAAGAATAATTTAGAAATGAGCATGTCAAAGTCAATCCAATAGATGTGGCTGCTGTAGAATTTCATTCACCAAATACATACATCAGGGTCTTTCCAGACTAATAATTATTAAACAGCTGTAAGCACTAATGTTTTGTTTGGTATTTTCCAAAACTGCCTTTGCAAAAACAAACAAACAAAAATATAAAGAAATAACTTAAAAACTCATTAATGGCCAAAGAAAGAGGTGGAGCATAATTAACAGTTATGTTTTATCAGAAACGAAGTAACACAAAACTCTGCTGACAGTCTTATTTGGGAATTTCTAGTTAGTTAATTTATTATCATCATCATAGCAGAAGCTGCTCCTCAGAAGAGATCTGAACTAATGGTCAAATATGTCAAGGACTTCATGTATACAGGACAAAGGACGTGGACATCTGAACAAATTTCAAGGTAGCTAACAAAAGGGACACAGTAGAGAGCAACATGAAGAGATGTACTCAGGCCAGAAGCAACAGCACTTATACAAGACACAGAGCAGTTATACAGCACAGTAAGAGACAGTGAACATCATGCAGCAGAAGGGAAAGCAAAAGTGGTACCAATTCAAAGGGTAAAAAGTGCAGGAGGGTGATAGGGGGTAGGCAGGTAGGAAAACATCAACCAGTAAATTTAGCCAGTACACCTAGACAGAAAAGTTTTCCCAAAGTTCAAAAAGGAAAATAGTTTTGCTGCCTAAGAGCTGAGAGTTGAAGTTCAATTGTTAAAAACACGGTATAGAACTAATACTTCAGAAAGCCTGGACGTGACGGGACCCAAGATAGTCTTCTAAGATACTAATTGGTAAGGAAGAAGAAAGAGAAAGCAAATGAGATACAAATAAGTTAAGAAGCAGACTGTCGTCTTAGGACAAAACAACCTTGGTGCTTGCTATAAGCTAATGGTGCAGAGATATCAAAGACTACCCAGTTCTGCATGTTGTGGTTTAAAAAAAAAAAGGAAGAGGAGTTGACAGAACAAGAGAGAGAGATACTACGCTACAACCCACTGCAGAAAGCAGGTGAAGCCACATAAATGAATGAGATGACCCAAAACCAAGGTGCCAAAGGAGGAAAGCCCAAGCTATAATCCTATAGGACCCGTTAAAGGCAGGAGTGTAAAGGGAATGAACTGCCAAGCACACACTGAAAGAACACCTGGGTAAGAAAAGCTGGGAAAGAGGTGTATCAATAACTACGTTGATTAACAAATCTTACAATTCATTGACAGTCACATCTAAACTGAAGAGCAAAACCTTCATAATCCCTAACATTCTGTGATATGCATGCTTACTGCCATAACCAGGAAATTTCACAGCATCTTACGGATAGTAGAAATCAGTGTTGTCTGTGAATGTTGAGTCCAAACAAAAGCTAACAGCATCTATACTTTTAAATGCTTTCACCATGTTACAAAGGTTGCTAATGATAATAACCTAATTTGAGCTGTTCATCTTCTGGTCACACTGTTATACTCTAGTGCACACAATACTCTGAGAAATTCAGTTTTCTCTCTGTTAGGAAGACCAGACAATGAGACTACACTAAATTGGAAACATCGAGATAGTAAGGGAAAACTCTGTTAAGAACAGACATAAATATGAGACACTAATCAGCCTAAGGTGATGCAGACATGCTTGATTCAGTGCACCTGATGATTCAATAGAGGCTTAAAAAAATCCTCCTTAAATAGTTATTTTTGCAGAACTCATAAAAGTTCAGAGAAAGTTGGGCAGATTTCATTAGATTTGCCATACAACATTTTATCTATTTACCTAGCAGTGACAGTAAGCAAGTGCCATGTCTAAGTTCACTTTTTCAGAACACCTTGAAAGATTAACCTGGGAATGTAAGAATACCTTCCTGTGCTTTCTCACTCAATCATCTCTGCTCCTGAGGAGAAACTTCCATTTTTAAAATTGCTCTTCCTCTGTTCTAATGTTTACTAACAATTACCTAAATTACGAAATTTTTAAATAGGGAAAAAAGCATTTCATCTGTGACACACCTGTAACAACTGCAAAATACTTTGAATAAAATGCATACATGCATATATCACATTGCATATCGAACTGGGGCTCTGCTATCAGAAGTGCAAGCCAATTAAACTGGAACTTTTAAGTATCAGAAAATTCATTCAAGCAGTTATGCTGCGAGTGACTTAACTGGTACATATGCATGCAAAGGAACAGTTTAGTGTCCGCTTCCTGCTCTCCTAATTTTTATTCATTACTAAATAGCTATTAATTAGCTATTAATACTAAATTACTCTTTATCCTCTTTTCTTCCTTTCATGCACCAACGTGGTACCAATGAGCTTTGTACAAGATGGAAAAGCATTTAATATTCAAAAACATGCAGAAAAGTAAGAGAGGTAGATACCATCTTACAACCATATCTCCAGCTTGAAGTCTACCAAACAGATAAGTCTACTTATTGACTGCAAGAGTAAACGTAATCTAAAATATTTTTCAACACAGTGTTTTAGAAAATTAAAATCTAGTATCTGGTCTTCTACAAAGATCCTTTAGAAATAGTGGTCAGGAGGTGTCTAGAATATAAAAGACAGTGCTTGGAGTCATGGACTTACTTTACATATAAATCCAAATGCCTTGGGAAATCTATTTTGCCAGCAAGAATCTTCTGATATATACCAAATGGATTGTCATCAAAAAATGGAGGAAACCTATTTTAATAGAGCAAATTTTTAGAGATTAGAAAAAGGATTTCTAAAAGCCTTATAAACAATATTACGTTACAGCAATTCCCCTCAGAAATGACTGGTTATATAGTTCATTTTGGTAGGGCATCATCAAACAATCACTAACTTGAAGAATAACTTAAGGCTGCTATTGCAAAACAGAAAACATTTTTGTATGCAGCACACTGAACACAGAATTAAAATTGAAGAGATATTTTTGTTACATTAACACAGTAAAAATATCAACTATGAAACATATTTTCAGTATTAAAGTAAAAAATACTTTGCCTTTATCTATAAAACCCAAGGGCATACTTTCTAAAACGGCATTACCATTTTTGATCTTGTCCTGCAACTGCAGGCACACCCTTATTCGCTAGTTTCTATCTGAAGTGTCAAAGGACTCTCATATGAATAGATTGTACAGTTCAGTTATTTATTGTATTTCTTGAATTCCAATATATGTTTTGTTAGAGAAGGCTTGGAAGAGACAGACTGTTCAGAACCTGAAATTGTCTCAAAGTGCATCTGTCTTTCTGCGTTGGACAGATAAGGTACTTATTTCATAATCTTCTTGAGATGATCAGTAAATCAAAATGCAATTAAAATTCTACACTTACTGTTCTCTAAAAAGTTCTTCATGAAGTAACAAGTTAACAGAGACTACTTCTTGTTTTACAGCTACAGCGAGAACTGAGAGAATTTTCTGTCGTGCTTCCTTTTCTAGTATAACACATACCCTGATTACTGCAAAAAGCTCAGAGTATGTGCACATCAGCACAGGTGATACAAGCAGCTTAGCCCAAATGCCAACAGGTTTTCAGAGCAGCAGTCACCTTTTTAGGAGTTACCACAGGAAACCTTTTAGGGTAATGGAGTAACTGACCATTCAATCACTAATCTTAGTCCCCACTTTGACTTCTGTAACACGACCAAAGCATCCCTTCTCCTGCTATGCTTCTGGCTCAAAACCCCTACTGAATAGAAAAAAGGGATTTTGATATCAATCATATTAATAACGTCCAACCACTATTAAGGTCCAACATTTAAACTGTTTTTACATCTCTCTAACATTTTATAATCACTTCTTAAGAGAACTTAACTGTGTGCACGCACACACACAAATATAGTGCTGGTGGCTTTGGAAATCATTGGTAGCATAAACAAGGGTGAAAACAACATTTCTTCATTTCACATTCTTTCCTTAATTTTATGTTACTCAAGCTAGATTACGCCTCAACGAGTACTATACATTATTTCCATTACACAAGTGTTTTCAGAAGTACCAATTTCTTCATTATTCAGCTGATTGTCAAGTGGATTACCATTTCCTTTGAAATACTCTAATATTCAGTCAAAAATTAAAAAAAAAAACCAAAACAAAACACCAAAAAACACCAAATTCCATCAGAAGAGTAAAATAAAGCTGTCTGTACACGTAAGGTGATACTATAAAGCACAGAAAAACTATCTGGTTAAGGAAAGACTGAAGAACATTTGTTACTATTGTTTAGGAAGTCAGAGTAGTTTCATGATGAAAAACTGAACCGTCTCAGCTACAAAGAAACTGAAAAATATAAGAATCT